CCAGGCTGGCCTCGAACTCACAGAGATCCGCCTGGCTCTGCCTCCCGAGTGCTGGGATTAAAGGTGTGTGCCACCACCGCCCCGCCTGAGCTGCGCCTTTAATCTCACCACTCTGGAGGCCAAGGCAGGTGGGTCTCTGTGAGTTGGAGGTCAACCTGGTCTGCAAAGAGAGTTCCAGGACAGCCAGAGCTGTTACACAAAGAAACCTTGTCTCAATCAAAACAGGCAAACAAAAGGAAAGAAAGTTTCTATGTGGGGCTGAAGAGACGGCAAAGGACTGGGATTCGGTTCCCAGCTCCCACAGTGGTTTACAACTATCTGTAACTTCAGTCCCAGGAGATCCAACACCCTTTCCTGGTTTCCAAAGGCACCAGGCACACACATGGTTCATATACACACATACAGGCAAACACTCACATACATAAAATAAAAATATGTAAATCTTGAAAAGTTCCCACCTTTCCCGCATATCCACTCTGTCTCAAAGTTACCAGACGTTCAGACTTCCACTACTGTTCTCAGGGTTAAACAAACAAACGGAGAAAGGTGTAGGAGCAGGTTTGGAAGAACAGCAAGGGTTAATTGATTTGATGGGTGCAAGGAACAAATGAAAGAAGTGACTGGAGGCAAATATGGATTCTGTTTCCACATAACATGAAAGACTGGTTAACCAGATCATACAACATGGCTGGGGGCAGTAGAAAAGGCTACCTGGACAGCTGTGGTCACCCTTCACATTCTCTGCTTCAGAAACGAAGGAACACAAGATGGAAACCGGCCTTCAACCAAGCCTTCAGAGTTGTGTTTTCTCCCCACCCACCCCTGCCCCCCGCCGCCGCCGCCGCCCCCACCTCTCTCCCCTGGGAACTTCTGGTCAATTCATGTCCCACGGGCCCTGCCTCAAGACAGGCTCACAGAATGTGTTTGCATAAAAGTCAACTTTAATTATCCATGTTTGGGGTCATCCAAGGATCGCCCCTCTGAGGGCAGTGAGGAGGGTCCGGGGAAAGGGACCTGCTGCAATGAGATCTCAGTCAGCAACAAGGTTGAGGCCCACGGTGGGGAATGGCCCAAAGAAGCCCTAAAAGAGAAGAAACAGGGAACTGAAGTCAGGCTGGAAAGACTGCAGTGCCTCCCTGCCTGCCCTCCTTCCTCAAATACGCAATCACTGCTGGGTTTGAGTAAGCCTTCCTCAGGGTGACTCAGCCCAAGGGTTGATAGGCTGAGGCCCTGGCTCCCACATACAGCTCCTCCTCCCTCCATTGTGCTTTTCCGTTATAGTGGGGGGCGGGGAGTGCTGGAGAAGAACGCCAAAGCTTTGTTCGTGTTCCTGGAAACACCACAGCAACCAGTTCCACACAGGTGGGTCTCCGTCATTTAGCTCATATTATGTTACCCCAGCAACCGCTCCCGGCTTAGAAACCCTGGCCGCCATGCTGCAGGCATGGGAGCCTGTTTTCCTGGAAAGCGTCAGGGGCTGGGGAGCCACTTCTCACAGGCTGTCCCTTGATGGACGGTGTGTACAGGGGAAAGCAGGAGGGGACAATTGTCAGCTCCATTGCTACTACCCAAATCCAAGCCCTTTCCACCTCCCTGGACCACAGCGGTCCTTTTCTCACATCTCCATTTTCGTTTTTGCTCTTCTTACTGTCTGCTACCCAACATCATTGTAGCAGGTATATTGTTGTTTCTAATGAGGGGCAGAGCTTTTGCTCTGTAGCCTTGAACTTACAATCCTGCCACCTCAGCCTCCCGAAAACTAGGATTACAGCATGCACCAGCATGCCTCACAGCTCAGGTGGCCTTTTAAAACCTCGGTGTCTCATTAGGACATCCCCTTCCTCAAAATGTTCCAGTAACTCCCCACTGTCTTTGGAGTGAAATGTAAAGTGTGCTCTGTGGGCCCTTGCACGGGCTTCCTTCTCCATCCTCAGCTCTGCCATTGGATGCTCTGTTCCCCTGACTGGCCATGGCATTCTTGCCTCTGGACATTTGTGGTGACAGCGCCCCCTGCTTTGTGTCTTCTGGCTGTTAGCTACTCTTATCTTTTATGTCTTAGCCCTACACCAGACTTTTCAATATGGAGAGATCTGGTGTTTGGAACACCTCCACCCCAAAGCCTTGAGAGGGGGGGGGGCAAGAATCATCCAGGAGAAGCTGGAAATGGGGAGGCCTGGGTCTCGTCACACCGAGACAGCATGTCAGGTTGAGGAAGTCTTATTACTAGCCTATGCCCCAAATTTCCATCTGTCAAGATACTAGATGAGTGATTGCTAATCTAGACTACAAGGAGATGCCTCTGAGCCTTGCCTGGACCATACGAGAGCAGGTAGAGGATGATGCTGAAGCCTCTACACCACGCCTCCACTATAGACAGAGCTCCTCTTAGCTAAACTGACAGCCCTTCGGTTTTCAGTTCCTGTTTTAGACTCAAACCTTATGCATGACCTTCCAGCTTTTGTCTTCGGTAGGAGCTCCCAGAAGCTGAGTGGTGCCTCACCCCTCCTCTCTCGTCTGGATAACTAGAGAGTAGTCTATAAGCAAGCAGGACTAACCTTCGGGTGCAAGGGTTTGTTTCATCCCTCTTTTATACCTGTCCCCCCATTTAAACATGTCCTTGATGATTCTAGTGTCCTTAGGAGAACAGAGCCCCTCACCTTGGCGGGGTGGGTTGTTTCTTGTTTGGGGGCCTTTGGAACTACTTTGGTGGCAAAGCATCGGTCCCTGCTCACCTTGACCGCTGGAGTCTAATGGGAGAGAGAAGGAAGGAGTCAGGAAGGAGGCAGGAAGGAGTCAGGCAGGAGGCAGGAAAGAGGCAGGAAGGAGGCAGAAAGGATGAGAAGATCTGAGTGAGAAAGCTATAGGAATCCAAAGCCAGGGCTTCACAGTTTGAGAGAAGATAAGTGATCTCACCTTAGGGTATAAGAGTCCAAGTTTCTCCACTTGCTTATCCCTAGAAGGCAAAGGGATGCCAGGTAGAACCCAGGCTTGCCAACACCTCCCCCTCCACTTTTCAAGTACAATTACTGTCCCCATAGAACTATTCCCCACTGATCCTAGAGATGACTGCGAGAGCACAGTACTTCTGGAAGCTTCTATGCACACTTCTAGTACCCTAAAAAGCAGGGGCTGACCTTACGTTTCCATACCTCACCCCAGTGGTTGCAGTGGAGAAAACTGCCTTCCCTTCCTTCCGGCATGGATTTTGGAGGTGGAGTCTGTTGAGATGCTCCACCTTTCTGTTCAGTACTTCTTGGGCTAAGTCATCTGGCCAGAACAGGCCTGCAGGGTGAAAGGATGGAGAGAATTGACAGCGGAGACTAGAGGGAACTCTCCCTCAAGCATGTGTAAGACCGTATCGAATGGAGAAAGTTCAGTGTGCAGAGGCTGCTGAGCACAGCCCTGGCAGGTCATGTCTAATGAAGCTACTGATTCACTTGTTGGCACAGTAGGATAAAGTGAAGCAAACACCCCCCCCCCCCGCCGCCGCCCTAAAAAAAAAAAAAAAAAAACCAAAAAAAAAAAAAAACGAAACCAAACCACAACCAAAAACCCTCCAGTGCAGTCACGCAAACTTTGGTGTGCGTCAGAGTATGTTGCCAGGCTCATTAGTACCAGATTGCTGTTTTTTCACATCCACATTCAGCAGGCATGTGCACACCAGAGCATCTTCCTCAACCACTTCCCACATTATTATTTCTTTTTTTGAGACTGTAATTTTTTCTTGGCTTTTCATTCCATTCCATTTATCATTATCAACACCATCATCATCATCATTGTGAGTGAGTGTGTCCCCAAACGAGTGTGTGCATGTGTGCATATGGTTGTGGGAAGTCAGAGTAAAATTTATGAAGTTGGCTCTCTCCTTTCACTTTGCATGGGTTCTAAAACTCGAACTCAGTTCATCCAGGTTGGTGACAGGTGCCTTGACCCACTGATCCCTCCCATTGGTTCCCCACCTTATTTTTGAGATGGAGTCTTTTATTGAATTTCTTAGGCTAGACTAACTATTCAGTGAGCTCCAGGACCTCCCTGTCTCTCTGTCCCCACCACTCTATGTAAAAGCAGAGGTTTTACATGCCACTGCTCCTGGCTTCTATGTGGATGATGGAGATTCAAACTCACGTCCTCATAATTGGATGGCAGACATTTTCCAACTGAGCCACCTCCCCAGACCTAAGATTTAATATTTCTGACAGATTCCCTGATGATGATACATGTGTTGCTGGTCTAGGAACTTTTTGAAGAATTAGTTATAGTAATATGGACTCAAGGCAGATCTTCTAGCCTACCTACACACATGTGACACTCTACAGAAGGGCCATCCATCCATCTCTAGTGGACTGCCTATCTGTCTCCTCTATGACATAGTTTCCCTGCTTCCTACTCAGAGGCTGAGATGTACCACTGGTCTCTTGGCTGAGCACTTAAGGAATCCTAGCTCTAGGAGAATCCAGGTAGTGCTGGAGGTAGAGACTAGTCCCAAGGACTTGATGCTGTCCTCTTTCAGGGCGTTCAAGTGCTCACAGCCTCTCCATCTAGAGTCTACCTTACTCTTTTCCTGTTCCCTTCCCCACTAAAGTGACATGAAAGTAGAATCATACAAGCAAGAGAAGCCTTACCCTCTGGTCAATAGTCCCTCACTACTCTCCCCCATATCTGACTGGGCCCCCATCTCGGTGCTCCAGCTTTTACTTACCTTGGGGTATGATCTGGTGGAGTATAACTTGTAAATAATGGAAGACTGTACCAATAAATCCTTGGAATGACCAGGACTGTCCCGACGCTCCTTGGCCCTGACCATCTAAGGGCAAAATAGCGCTGTCAGCAAATACCTTGGTCTGCGTCACTCCAGATCCCAGCTGAAGAGAAGCCACCACCCTTTCCCCATTGTTAACACAAAGCCAGGTCCTTTCCCCCTAACGGAGTCCCCTTTGTCATCTTCTCCTTCGTTACTGCCAGCCCCTGAACTCCGTCCACTTTTTCCTATTATTGTTTCAAATAGGGCCTTATTAAATAGCCCTAGATGTCTTGGAACTCACTCTGTAGATCAGGCTGGCCTGAAACTCAGATCTGCCTGCCTCTGCCTCCAGAGCTCTAGAATTAAAGGTGTGTGCCACCACCACACCTGGCTTCTATTCACTCTTGGTATCAATATCTAGGCAAGAATCAAGCACACAGGCAAAAAAAAAAAATCCTGTGAAGGTGCAGGTGCAAAAAATCTTGGAGAGCTACCCACATGTGGTGGGCCATCGGATGGACAGGTGGAGTCTGAGGAAGCAGAAAAGCTGCACCTTAAGGAAAATTCTGAAGGCAGGATGGATTAGGGGAAAGAACTGGAATCCTTAGAAAGAGAAAGGACCATCTCCCCACGTGTCTTCAGAGGGTTGGGTCTCAGACTACCCTCCATACCAAAATCTGTAGATCTTCAAGATCCTAATGGTTTGTTATTTGTATGTTACTTACAAATATCCTCCTTTACACTTTATTTTCAATTGCACTTTGTGTGTGTGTGCATTCACACACATGCACATGTGCACACAAAAGTATGTGCACTGAAAGAGTTTGGAGATCTGAGGACAACTTCCAAAGTCAATTATCTCCTTCTACTGTGTGGGCCCTAAGGATTCAACTCAGGTTGTCAGACTTGGTGGCAAATGTCTTTACCTGCTGAATCCTCCTGCCAGTCTCTTCTTGTATATTCTAAACAATCTCCCCATTATTTATAATAGCTCATATACAATACAAATAGTTGTTTTATGCATTGTTCAGAGAATAATGACAAGGGAAAAAGTCTACATTCAATCCACAATTGGTAGAATTAAGGACGCAGAATTGCATGATGAGAAACGTGTGGGCGGGGAGGGCTGACTGTGTTCTTGTGTGTAAGGTCTGAAGGTTGGGATCTTTTTCCTAAAACCCACAGTTTGTCCAACTGTGTGTAAGAGAAGGGCAGGGATGAAGAAACAGTTGGTCCTTGTTCTAGATAAATGAGTAGAGCTAAAGAAAAATCTCCTTACCCTACTTGAGCCAATTAAAAAAAAAATAAGAAAGAAAATAAAAGAAAGACAGAGTTTTGCTATGCTTCTCAGGCTGGCCTCGAATTCTCAATCCTGATGCAACCTCTTTACTAGAATCATAGGTCTTCCTAGATAGAAAGAGCAATTCTCCCCCTCACTCCATTCACATCGATGCCCAATACAATTTCCCGACTCCAGAAAGCAGTGGAACTTTCTAGTGCCCTGGAGAAAAAGAGAACTTCCCGGGAGAGGCGGTGTTGTCTGAGACAGCGTCCCCAGAGCGGTAATGGGGTTGTGGGGGCGTGGAGCTACACAGAATCCAGAGAACGGCTGGAGCTATCCATGGTGCTGAGGGCCAGGAGTGGTCACCGTGGGCGGTAATGAGAGACTCCTCAGTTTCTGCATTTCACACCCCACATCCATTTACCCCATCCCCACGCCGCCTCAGTCTCCCCACCCCCACCTCTCTGACACCAGGCCTCCTCCCACAGTGCTTTGCGAATGCCTTGCATTGGCTTCCAAACCCAAGAATCCCGCCGGGAGACTGGACGTCAGACTAGGACTTCATGCAGGGTCTGCGCAGGTATTCTGAGACTGCGCAGTCTGTCCCCGACTGTTGCGAAGTGAGTGCGCGTCAGGTCCATCCAGGATGGCGCAGAACGGAGCAGGAGGACAGAGAATGGTCTTCTTCCCCTTCCAACCTGTTTCACCCCAACCTAGCCACCCCCACCCCTACCCCGGTCCTGAAATCGGATCCCAGCCCCTGGGCTCTGCGGGCCTACGACTGAGCCTTGATTTCTCTCAACCCCACCCACCTTGATCCCGGACCAGGTACCCAAATACAAGCACTCCTGTTCCTATACCAAGCCCTGTTCATCTCTTTCCTGGCCCCTCAGAAGCGTCTGGCGAGTACCGCAGCCACCCTTGGCTCGTCTGTCTTCCCCACTCTTTCTGAACCCCCAACCTGTCCCTGGGTCCGCTCCTTCTATGTCTAGACCCTGTACACCAAGCCCCGGGACTACACCTGTCTTTGAGACTCTCTGCATCTCTCTCCTCTCTTATTCCAAACGGTTTTCCTCCTGAGTTTCAGCCTTGAAGGCCAGAGAGCCTCTGCTCTTAGAATTGCTCTCTGGCCCTGCCCGCACCCCCCGGGTTTCCTCCTGACCGTGGGCACTTATGCCGCTGCAGCTGCCTGGACGACTGTAAAGAAGAAGGAAGCAGACCAGGAGCTGGAGCCCCCCGGAGCTCGCGGGCCTGAGCAAGCTCAGCATCTTCCCTGGATCCGAGCGCTCGCTTCCCCCGGGCTAGGTCGCAGTGGAAGCAGCAACAACAGCCAGGGGGCTGGGCCAGGATGTCACTTTCCACCCGCTAGCGACGTGACTAGGGATCTGCAGAGCCCTCCTCTGCAACTCGGCCAATCGCAAGCCGGCTCTGCCCCTGCAGCCGCCTACTCAAGTCGGCCATCCCCTTAAGGACTCTCTCCATTCGACCTTTTGGAGTTTCCGCTCTCACCCTCTGCACACCCGTCCTCGGTCCCCAGGGAGGGAGAAACTGATTGCTTATAAGATGGGGGTGGGAACGGAACCAACTTCATGGATTTGCTTGTGGTGTTTAAATATAAACTGCGAAGGGAGAGAGAGCACTCAGAGTGATGAATGTCTATTGCCTTTGACACTCGTTTTTATCTTCGTCCTTTTAAAATCTTTTAGCAACCATATGGGTTCAACCTGCACAACATTGCACGTCCATCCTCCTTTTCCCACAGCCGCTGCGGTTGCCCTAATCCAAACCACGGTACTCTTTAAAATGGATCGTTTCAATAACTAACCACCTGACCCACCGCTTCTTGTAATAGGACAATGTGCCACGTTTCTAAGCTGCAGTATGAGTTTTGTTGTAAACTGGACGTTGTGGGTTGGTGCATTGATGATTCTCCGGATTACATTATCTTTCTTTAGTAATTACTGCTGAGGTTCTTTTGGGACTTCAGTGAGAGGTTGGCCCTCTAGTTTTGTGGTTCTGAACTCCAGGCTTTGCCTCCCTAGAACCGTGGCAGCTGCCGAAATCTTTGTTCAGACACTTGCCTTACCTTTTAGGCTCTTGGAGACCCCACCCTGCCCACGTGCTGTTTAGAAGTCAGCTGAGAATTTGAGCAGATTTGTATTTAGATTTTAGGTTCCCTCTGGGTAGACCACCCATCCCCCAGATTTCTCCTTCAGTTTCTGGCTGCCTTGGCATCCCGGATCTCACAGTTTACACCAGTGATACCATCACTTCCCGCCCAAGCCTACTTTCCCTCTGTGCTGCAGGGAATGGTAAAGTGACTTGGAAAAAGCCAGTTGAATGTGGAACTCACCTGGCAGGGCTTTTATTCTTCAGGAATGATGATCTCATTCATTTTTCTTCCTTTTGGTTGGACTTCACGCCTTCACAGTTTGTGTGTGTGTGTGTGTGTGTGTGTGTGTGTGTGTGTGTGTGTGTTGTTTGGAATGTATAGTCAGTGTTAACAGGACGGTATAGCACAAGTTGTTTTACCATATCAGGACCTGAAAGTTTATCTTGTTCTCTGTGATTATGTGCTGGACATTTTATTTTCAAAAGATTTATAGAAGCAATTGGAGGGATGTCATGAAACAGTGAATTGGTATGTTCCATCCTTGAGGGAACCTTATGAGACTCAGGAAATAGTAAAGGGAAGCTTGTTAAGATTCAGAGAGCTCAGTTGTTGGTTTCTGTTTTGTTTTGTTTTTTAAATTTTTTGAGACAGAGTTTTGCAGGATAGTCCTTGGCTGTCCTGAAACTCATTATGTAGACTGGGCTAGCCTTGAACTCAGAGGTCTTCCTGCCTCTGCCTCCTGAGTGCTGGGATTAAAGGCATGCACCACAACACTCACAAGACTCAGAGAGTTAGGGCTTTCTAAGACTCAGGAAATAAACAACTTAAAAACTCCAGGAAGTCCCTGAAAATGACCAAATGCACAAGGCCCCTCCTTCTCTGAGGTTAAATAATCAATAGAGACAACTGAGGAGCTGCTCATACCCATGTGGCAGAAGGGGAAAATTGCCTCTGGCAAATTGTCCTCTGACCCACATTCACATATGTGTCCACACATACTAAACAAACGTAATTAAAAATAAAACAACTTTAGGCATAAGGTCACATGAATGTGAGCCTGTTTTGAGAGGTATAATACACAGGAAAAAGGGTACCTGTCAGTCTGAGCACTAGTGGGTGTGTTCTTCTCCCTTTGAAGATTCCTGTCTCCCTGGGACTTGCTATAAAGATGACATGTGTGGTGGCACATGCCTTTTGCACAGAACTTGGGAGGAGACCTAGGTGATCTCTATGAGTTTGAGACAAACCTAGTTGACATAGCAAATTCTAGGCCGGCCAGGGCAACATAGTGAAACTCTGTATCTAAATAAATAAAGGGAGAGAGATGTGCAGAAGCATGCGAACTTCTTTTCGCTGTTGGTTTCCGGATTTTGCTGCTGAGAATAATGCCCCTAGACCCGTAGGATCTCAAGCCTACTGAACCTGGAGCTCACAGGGGTGAACTTTCTCCTCCAAGGGGAAAAGAAAAGGTATCATAACACGTGACTGCAGGCAGCAGGCGAGAGAAGGTTACAGTTCATTGGTCCTTTTTTTTGTCCTGCATCCTTGTTAGGAATGATGTCTGGATGGAGGAAGCACTCAGAAACCCGGTCCCCCTCTGTACCAAGGACCAGCACACTTGTCCTCTCCTCAGATTGCCCCTCCCCCACACCCCCTTCACCGACCTTAAGGTTTTTCACTTAATCAGAGGTTCTGGCTGGGGTCTGCTCTTCTGCCTCTTAGGCCCAAATCATGCTTTCATGAAAACTTCTTTTTAAAAAACATCTAGCAGCAGGTTGCCTTATGACTGACTGATTTGGAGAGCGTGGGAAGGGTAGAGAAACCTTAGTCTGCTATAGGGTTTTATTCAAAGAAGAAAATGGTTCAAAGAAGCTTTAAAATGAGAGGGAAATGGGATCTGGGATTTCTGTGCATCCGTGCTGGGCCTCGCTCTCCACCCCACTTCACAGAGGACTGTAATAGCGGTATTGATTTGGACAGGTCTGGAGGCACCGTGACTCAGCATGCCTCCCATGTTTCTCACGCTCCGATCCTCTCATTCTGCCTGGTTTCCTGTGCAGAGTGAGATGAGAAACTGGAACCTGGCGGATTCTTATTAACATACTTCGCAGCGCCATGACAACCAGTTATCATTGCGGAAATCAGTCACTCAGCGCTGTTAATATCTCCCCAGCAACCAATCCAGGCGGAAGCAGCCTATCTGCCATGGTGACAGAAGCCAGAAGCAATTTTCTTGGACTCGGGAGGGTCTGGATCCCCTCCCTTGATACTGAGGATGCTTTGAGTAAAGCGCACGGTGCTCAGCTGCTCCACACTGATAGTCCAAGCCACACAGTCATCTTCGGGCCAAGACCATGCCTTCTAACAGATCTGCCCATTGCGCTCTTGCCTTTACTGGTGCATTCTCCAACAATGCCAAGATACCCTTGAAATTGTTTATGGCATTCTATTCTTTCCCCTTGGGCCCCCAGTGGCTTTCTGATGCACTTTGCTATTCCCTACAAGAACCTCTATGGTCATTTTGGGTTTATTTCCCGAACTCTGTCTCCCCACCAGCTGGTCTGTCTCTTCTTCTCAGGGGCCATTTAAAAACCGAGAAATAGGGGCTGGAGAGATGGCTCAGTGGTTAAATGCACTTTCTCCTCTTACAGAGGATGAGGGTTTGATTCTTAGCTCCAACCTGGTGTCTCACAATCACCTGTAACTCCAGTTCCGGAGGACCCAGTGCCATTTTCTGGTCTCTGCAGGCATTTCCCCACACATGGTGTACACACATACATGTAGGTAAAATGCACGTACACATATAATAAAGAGAAAAAACCTTGCTGTGGTTTGAATATGAAATATGCTCCTAGGCTCATGTGCTTGAATAATTGGTGCCCAGCTGGTGGTCCTGTTTTGACATACATTTTTCTCTTTTAATCTTTAAAGATAGGGTTTCACTATGTCATTCTTGATGGTCTAAAACTCACAGTGTAGCCAGGCAGTGGTGGCACACGCCTTTAATCCCAGCACTCGGGAGGCAGAGGCAGGTGGATCTCTGTGAGTTCGAGGCCAGCCTGGGCTACAGAGGGAGTTCCAGGAAAGGCGCAAAGCTACACAGAGAAACCCTGTCTCAAAACAAAACATAACAAAACAAAACAAAACCTCACAGTGTAGCCTAGGCTGCCTCACATTTACAGATATTTGCCTGCTCCTGCCTCCCAAGTTCTGGTGTTAAAGACATGCACCACCACACTTGGTTTGGTACCAGTTTTTAGGAGGTTATAGGAGCATCAGGAAATGGAGCCTCACGGTAGAAAGTGGCTCCCTGGGGCAGACACTGAGGTTTTATAGCCTGGCCCTACCTCTTGTCTTCACACTGATTCCTGATCTCGCCAGATGTGAGCACGCAGTCCCAGACTGCTGCCACCACGCCTTCTCTGCCATGATGGAATGCACCCTCAAATCATATGCCAAGTAAACCCTCCCGCGCCTTAAGTTGCTTCTTGGTCAGAACAGTGAGAGAAACAATTGATAGACAAGGTGAGGAGCTGCTGATGTGGTTCGGTTGGTAGAGTTCTTGCCTAGCATGAGCAAAGCCCCGGCTTTGACTTCCAGTACCTCATAACTGGGAGCGGTGGTGTGGGCCTGCAATCCCAGCATTTCTCAAAAAAGCAAAACAAATAAACAAAAAACTCATACATGAATAGGAAAAGATCATGCTCACACAAAACAAAATAAAACTGAGGTGTTCATATTCATTTTAGATGAATTGACTTCAACACAGAGAAAATCAGGAGGATAAAGAAGAATACGGCTTAATAATAAAGGAACCATGGGGCTTGGAGAGATGGCTCAGTGGTTAAGAGCACTGGCTGCTCTTCCAGAGGACCTGGGTTCAAATCCCAGAACCCACATGGCAGCTCATAACTGTCTGTAACTCCAAGATCTGACACCCTCACACAGACATACACACAGGCATACATACATACACCAACGCACCTAAAATAAAATAAAAAAGAATCAGTTCATTAAGAAGACATGCTCCCTTAATGTGCATGTTCCTACCAGGGCCTTGAAGTGCATGACACAAAATGAACAATACTGAAGAGAAGTAGACAAATCACTATCTGTTTGGGGCCTGCATCATCTTCCTCTCAGAAGCCAAGAGACAGTACTAGACACAAAACCTGCAGATGCAGGGAAACTGAGTCACACCATTGAAGTGTGTAATTGGGGTTTGTAGAGCTTTCCACCCAACAACAGTGAGTATAAAT